CCAATTATTGTTATCAGCTTTATTAAAAAAAAAAAAAAAAAAAAAAATTGTTCCAAAATTAAACTGTGGTATCAGGCATTAAAATGGCAATTAGGAACATATTTCCCTACTTAAAGGACATTTTCCTATCTATTTTGAAACGTGATCAAAGTAATTTTTTCCACTGCCCCTTGATTCTCAATATAAATACATATGTTACTAAGTAATAATACCCAACTTCAGGCAAGAAAATAAAGTACTGATATAGCTTAAGAACCTGCTGGTGTCTCAGTTTCACATACTTAGGTTTTTCAGGTTCATATCACTAATTTATCATCAGTTTAAATGGAAATTGGCAGATGATTTTAAAGCTAAGAATATCCAGCTTTCTGTTAAGATCTTCATGTCCTAATTTCAACTCCAAATTAGTCCATTTTACCCAAACACAAGCCCCTCAAAATAGAGGCTCACGATTGAGATACAGCCACAACCTAATTACAGCAGCATGAACAATGCCACCATGATGTCCTCACAGAACTTAAATAAATTCAGCCCACAATGGGTATGGGTATATAATATACACATACTGTATCTCTGCATACCATATATTTACAAATATGTACATATATACAAAAAGTATACACAGAGATTCAGCATCATGAAAATATATACATGCCACTGCAAATAAAATAAGAATTTCAAATAAATAAGGACAACAAAAGAGCCCTCAATGTAAATATCCTTAATACTCTCCAAACAAACATACAGGAATATATATATACCCAAAATATCACCAGGAGATTCATACCATTCATATTCATATCAAATCTTTTTACTCACTTAGGATGGGGAGGTGGTTCTGAATCACAGGCAGTAGCCAAGTTTGCAGACCTTGGTACCTTACTATATTTCCTGTCCAGAATATTCTCTGTATATCAGACTGATTACAAGTCTCTGTGGATAACTAAGTACAAGATTTTTCAACAGAGTCCAAAACCCTTCTAAGAGACAGAAAGTTACTAACTCACACAGGTCAGAGATTAAACTTGGAGAAAAATGCTAATGAAAGCTCTCATAATTAATATATACATTGGATTTGATGCTTTTCCCTTTCCCTCAAAGAAATTCAGTTCAATCACCACCTAATCTGTCTCAGGGAATACTACTGCAAGAAGAAAACAAAGCATAGTAGCCACAAGTGAGAAAAAATAAAACCCAGATCCTTTACCATGAAAATTTCAGTCATGACTAGATTGCACTTTGCTTTTATAATCTCAAAACATTTCAACTTGGTAAAAATATAAAGGGTACAATAAATTCTATGTGCTTTGAGAGGTTTTTGAGAGCACCACTTCCTAGGAAGAAAAAACACACACACACATACACAAAGGATATACCCTGGCTAAAATCAAAGATAAAATGTCTGACTTGTGGATTTTTTTATAAATAATAAATTAAAATTTGCTGGGGCTGATTGATTTACTGGTTTCAATATTTGATATATTAAAAAAATACCATAGCTTTTGTGCCAAAATATAAATCTGTAATTATTTCTTTCTTGTTCATTATAGAAAGCAACCTGAGCTACTGGAAAGACTGGGCTGAGATTAGGAGATTTGAGTTTTAGTTCTAGCTCCATCTTTATGAAAAAAAACTGAGTTTTTTGGGGTCTCAGCTTTCTTTTCTGTAAATTAGGGAAGATAGTTGCTTTATCAACTTCAGAAATATACGGACAAAGAAAAACAATTCCATTGTGCTTAATTTTGTTTTGTATATAACTGACTTCTTGCACTCTTACACTATTTTGTTTACAGTGGTTCTTAGGTGAGGTGAGACACTGTATCAGAATCTCCAGGGGGGAGTTTGTGCAATTTGAAAGCAAAGAAGTGCCCTTTCCCATTGTTTTGCTTTGTTCTTAGTTCCAAAATTTAAATTTCTATGAATTCTAAAAATAAATAAAGGGTTTAACATTTTAATATTCATAAAGGGGAGCAGTATATATTGAGAAAATAAGATTCTCTGCCATTGCCATCTTGAACCCATTGAGTGATTGTCCTTTTTCATTTCCTCTTCCTCAATTAAAGTAAGGTCTTAAAATGTAGAAGCTGTGTAATGGGTGTAAAAGGTTCATTAAACTCTGTATATGTTTTAAATTTTCATAACAAAAAGTTAAAAACAACAACAAAGGAATACAAGTGTTTGCACAAATGTAACCTTCACAATAAGGCCTACCCCGATCACTCACTGAAACATTATTTTCTGCCTAAAAACAAACGAAAAATTTCCCTTGCCACGCTCTAAATTTTCTTCATACTATTTAAAACTTTCTAACATAAATTTACTTATTTATTATATTTATTGCCTGATTACTCCTACTAGAATATAAGCTTCATGAAAACAAGGACTTTTAAGTCTACGTTGTCTGTTTCACCAATGCCTAGGACAAAATCTGGAGTATAGTGTTGCTCAATACACATTTTTTTAAAGGCGTGAATGAAATAATAGTTTAGAATTTTCCAGCACAGTTTTCCTCTCAAGATTACTTTAGTTCACTTTAAATTTTTAACCACCAGTAAGGAATTATACTACTATTAACTTGAGGAGCAAGGTCATCATCTAAACACTAGCTGTGAGTTCCAAGACCCCTTGTTCTTAGACAAACATGTTACTAATAACAAAAGCTCTAATTTCTTCTGGAGATTCTCTCTCTGAACTAGTTTCTACAACAACTAAGTGGGACCCAGATATTTTCTTGAACAAAAAGTAGGTAAAAATGATATAGAAAAGAAAATGTTGTGTATACTAAAATAAGGGAAACCAATTTGCCAGGTGGCAGGGGTGGGAAAATCAATATCTTTTGGAACCAAGAGTTCAAATTATAGAACCACAGAATTGGACAGAACCTTGGGCCAATGCCTTCATTTTATAGATGAGAGTGCTAAAAAGCAGAGACATGAAGACACTTGTCAAAGGGCATAAAGCTAGTTACCAGGAAAGCCAGGATTAGAACTCAGGTCTCCTAATTCTTAAGCCAGTGTTCTTTATGTTAATCAAGTGAGGATAAAGCTCAGGATGATAAATATTATTTTAAGCATCAGATAACAGGAGAATATGTGTTGCTAGTACTGGCACAGAACTTCCGGGGAATTGAAACAAGAGGTCAGATAACTAAGGACAGTCTATTGCTGTAGTTCAGGAAAGGAAAGCTATGAAGTTTATTAAGGTACTGGGGGGGAAAAAAAAGGAAAGCAGTCTTTATCTGATAATAAAAACCCACTAGCAAAGGAAATCTCTCTCCAGGGTAACTTTTCCAAAGCCTTCTGAAATAATGTTTAAAAGAACAAACAAAAATGACTTTTAAAAAATTAATTAAAAAACCCACAAAGTCTCCCAAACCCAAGAACAATAACTTCAAGACTTCAGATGAAAAACCAACAAATTGGAACACATATATGAATAACTTAGACCAAAATAATTCTGTATGTTAGAAATAAAAACCAAGTTAGGGCTTCCCTGGTGGCACAATGGTTGAGAGTCCGCCTGCCGATGCAGGGGACACAGGTTCGTGCCCCGGTTCGGGAAGATCCCACATGCCGTGGAGCGGTTGGGCCCATGAGCCGTGGCCGCTGAGCCTGCGTGTCCAGAGCCTGTGCTCCGCAACGCGAGAGGCCACAACAGTGAGAGGCCTGCGTACCGCAAAAAAAAAAAAAAAAAAAAAAAAAGTTAAAAATATTACAGTGAAATTCCCCTAGGGACATAGGAAAGAGGCACCAAAAGCAAACACCTCATTTCCCCTGGGACTGCCAGAGGTAGAGCTGTGAGCCTGTACAGAAAATTAGGTAGAAGGGCTTTTGATTCATAGATTTCTGAACTTGAATGCTGGGGAGTCAAAAGAGGGGAAAGAAATCATAGCTAGTGCCTGTAAAATTATGAAGGGGATGAAAGGGAAGAAAAAACAAAAATCTTTACATAATACACTGAGCCCTATATAAAATAATAAAAAACTTGTGCATGAAATATAAAATAGTAAATATAAGGAGTTTTTAAAAACCTAATTTCCAAATTGTCAATGCAAAAGAACTTCCATTTTAATTATATAACAATTCAGTTACCCTCAACTAAAATTAGTAACAACTCTGAAGTTTCATAAATCTGAACTAGGCAAAAGGATTACAAACTCTCTACTGTATACCACAGACCTCAACCTAGACAGTCTTTAAACTTGATCTCATTAATTAATAAAAGTTTAAATGGAATTCCTATGGAAACACTATATTATGAAAATGACAACCTGATTTTTTGACTGAAAGATTTAAAAGTTGTTCTTTTTCACTTCCAGCATTCAAAGAATACAAAGAAAACAAAATATGCAAACATATCTCATAACACAGGACTCACACATTCCAAATGATATGTATCATCTCAAGACCCCAATTAAAGATTCAGCTTTTCAGATGCAAATCAATCCTATACAGTTACTGAAATTTTGACAGCATTTAAACGAATTAAATGCTTTTAAGAACTATCTTGATTAGGCTTCAAAGAATCACACATTTTTCTATCTACTAAGTTGGAATGAAAAGAAATATTATGAAAGGGCTCTGTTCTTGATTCTTAGTAGTCCATGCTGGCTAGTTTCATATTTGTGAACAATTACATATTTTCCAAATCCACACATTTAAGGTCCAAATATAAGAGTTGGGTTTTCCTCATTATACAAAAATAAATGATTTACTCTTCTCAGGGTGAGAATAGTGACTATATGAGTGTAGGATCAGATGTTAGAGGTAAGTATCCATACCTCAAAACCAAAAAATAAAAATTCCAAGATTGAGTTTTTAAAAGACCTGAAACATTGTATTTTAAAACAGTTACCCTAAAAGTTTGAACAATTTTTTTCAGCTTGTTTTTAAAATGGTGGTCCTAAATTGAAAAATAAAAACTAAATAACACCACTATGTGTCTGTCATCACATTAGAAAACTGCACCATTTAAAATCTGTGGCAAATGAAAACTTGTTTCAACAGAGGATTTTTGTTTTAATAGTCATCTACGGTATTCTCAAGGAACACGTTTCGCACATCTAGAATGGATGCTAATTCCAAAATGTGCTTCTGGAGGTGAGGGTTCTCCACTGTTTCATCCCTTGGCAGTTGTGGATATGATTCTGGATAATTTCGTGTTTCCTGGTAAACAAAGAAGAGAAAAGTCAATTTTATAGTTTAAGGAAAGAAAATTATACACATTAATATTACTGTTAATATGAACAGTATTAAGAAGTAACTTAATATGCATATTTCTCCTTCATATTGGTAATATATTTGTTGAACATACGAAATTGCTGACATTTGACCATTTTGACCCAAAAAATGATAAGTTCATACAGTTCAACCCAATATATTCATTTAGTGAGTTATTTCATGAATATTTACTGGGGCCTATCATTTCTGGGAACTATGCAATACTGTGGAAACCATATAATTCCTACTTGCTGGGGAGAAAATCCTAAAATACACAGAATTTCAACAAGTATTTGTTAATGAATAAATAAATACATGTTTCAGTAGAAATTAAAATGAGAGAAAAGACATGGGAAACCCTGAAAAGGTCAAATTAATGGGCCTGGGCAATTAATTATAGGAGAAGGAGGTGTCAAAAATGACTAAGGTTTCAGGAATGGATGACTTGAAAGAAGAGTTGAGAGCTACTCAGAGAAAAAGAGATGTAAAGGAGGAGATAATTTGGGGATAGTAAAAAGCTTCAGGTTTTAGGTATATTTTATTTAAGGTAATGGGCTATACAAAGAGGAGAGCCCATCAACCAGAATTTGAAAATTCAGGACCGTATCTCAGAAGACAGGTTTGAGGGCTTCCCTGGTGACAGAGTGGTTAAGAATCCGCCTGCCAATGAAGGGGACATGGGTTCAGGCCCTGGTCCAGGAAGATCCCACATGTCGCGGAGCAACTAAGCCTGTGCGCCACAGCTACTGAGCCTGTGCTCTAGAGCCCACAAGCCACAACTACCGAAGCCTGTGCGCCTAGAGCCCGTGCTCTGCAACAAGAGAAGCCACCGCAGTGAGAAGCCCGCACACTGCAATGAAGAGTAGTCCCCACTCACCACAACTAGAGAAAGCCCACGCACCGCAATGAAGACCCAATGCAGCCAAAAAATAAATAAATAAAATAAATTTTTTAAAAAAGAAGAAGACAGGTTTGAGCAGTTTATGTCATACTATATACTATATACATATATAATATATACACTGATACAATCTACATGAAGATAAATATTAATAGCCGTGAAAATGGATGAGGTTTCTAAGCATATTAGCAAAGACAGTGAAAAAAAGAGTCCCTAGAAAGAGAGATGAAAGATTGGGGGGAAAACAAAAAAAGGACTAATAAAAGAAAAAAGAAAATAGTGTTTGTAATCACATGGAAACAAAAGAAGAAGATAATTTCAAGAATAAAGTGATTCTCATTTGGAAATTCTTCATTTGGTACTTTCTATAGACTACAATTTTGCCACATACTTAAAATTTACTGAAAAAATAAATTACCATTTTTCTATACATCTAACATGACAGTCCATATATTAAAAGGTCATTTCTATCTCTCTTGTGCCTGTAGGCCTCAGTAATTACGTATTACAGAGACTAAATTTTCATTTTACCACACTAAATACTAGGAGGAGTGACAATAATGAAAAGCTCAAAAACCCTAAAAAAAGAAAAAAACCAAAAAACCAGGAACTGCTGGGGGGCTACTGTAAACTGAACAATTCTCTCAGCTCACACAGGGCTGGGACATGTTTGAATTCTGACCAAACACCCCAAGGGTGGAGAAATATGTGTTGAAACAGTGGACATATAAAAGAGACCCCAGAGAAATCATGCTTCTTAGTACTAGGCTGAAATAAATCTACATCTGTATGTTAATGCTACTGTAATAAATCTGCCCTTAAAAATCTTAAAAACAAGCCAGGGAAAGGTCAAAAAGATGTTCAAGTAATTTAACTCCTGCCAGAACAAAGCCCAAAACTCTTTAAACACAACAAAATAGAGAAATCAACATCAGAAAATTCATAATGCTCACAGTTTAACAGAAAATTACTAAACATACAAAGAATTAGAAATATGAGACCCCTAACCAGTAGAAAAAAAACAATAAAAGCAAACCTATAAATGATAGAGAATACAGTATTAGTAGGTAAAGACTTTAGCTATTATTATTCATTCAAGAACACAAAAGAAAACATAAATATAATGAGAAAAATGGAAAATGTTATAAGAACCAAAAAGAACTTCTAGAGGTGAGAAAAGTGTAATCCCTGAAATGAAAAACTAAATGGACATAGGATTAAGAGCACATTAGACACTGCAAAAGAAAACATCAGTAAAGTTGAAGACAACAGAAACTGAAACACAGAGAGAAAACAGACATTTAAATAAATGAAGAGCATGTAAATAAACCTTTTTTCACTTAAAGAAAAAAAAAGCAAATCATTGACCTGTAGGACAATATTAGGTTGTTTAACATATATGTAATTGATGCTCCAGAAAGAGAAAGGGAGGAGTAGAGAAAATGTTTGAAGAAATAATGGCCAAAAATATTCTAAAATATATTAAATATCTTGATACTTAGATAGCTGTAAGATGCTCAATAAACCCCAAGCAGGAAGAAAGCAACAAAGAAAAGCATATCAAGGTAGTACATCATAATCAAATTGTAGGAAACCAATGTAAAGAGAAAATCTTAAAAATAGCCAGAAGAAAACACACATTACACATTGTAATAATAGAACAATTATTCAGAAAATCAGTAAGGCTATAAAGAAGTTGAACAACATTATAAGCCAATGAGACCTAACAGACATTTATAGAACCCTTCATTCAACAGTAGCAGCATATATTGATACATTCATTTCAAGTATCCCTAGAACATGTACCATTATAGACCACATTCTAGACAATAAAGCAAGTCTCAATAAATTAAAAGGACTCAAACCATACAAAGCATACTATTTGACCACAAAGGAATTAAATTAGAAATCAGTAAGATATCTTGAAAATTCCCAAAATTTAAACACTAAATAACATATTTCTAAATAACCCATGGTTCACAAAACACCAGAGTGAAATAAATACTGTTTCAGATAAATAAGCAATGAGAGAATTAATCACCACCAGATTTGCACTATAAGAAATGATAAAGGAAATTCTGTGGTAAGAAAAATGATACCAGATGGAAGATTAAATCTAAAGAAAGAAATTAAGAGTGCCAGAAATAATAAATATATAAGCTTTTCCTCCTCATTAAAATTTTTTTAGGAATTCCCCTGGCAGTCCAGTGGTTAAGACTCCACACTTTCACTGCAGAGTGTGCAGGTTCCATCCCTGGTCAGGGAGCTAAGATCCCACATGCTGCATGGCATAGCAAAAAAAAAAAAAAAAAAAAAAAAAGATAATTGACTGTTTAATGCTATAATAACCACAAAGTATCAAATAGTATATATCATACTCAAAAGTCAAATGACAATAATAGTAGAGATTGGGAGGGAGAAAATGGAAGAATACTATTGTAAGATAATTACATTAAATGTGAAGTGATATTAAAAAAGCAAAACGAGATACAGCATAAATCTACAGTGTTATTAAAATAAAATTCTAAAACCAAACAAAACCTCAATTAAGTCAAATGAAAATGAAGGCAGGAGAGAAAGAAAAAAGGTACAAACTGCAGCCAGGACAAATAGAAAACAAATAATAGTATATTTAACTCAAACTATATTAAGAATTATACTTAATTTAAATGTAATTTAGAACTAAAAATGTCAAGTAAAAGGTAGATATGGTCAAACTAGATAAAAAAGCAGGACCTAACGCTGTTGAAAAGAATTCCACTTTAAATATTAAGATAGATATAGGTTAAAAGTAGAAGAATAAAACAAGATTTGCCATACAAACACAAACCAGAAGAAAAGTGGTATAGTTATATTAATATTGCACAAACTAGATTGCAGATCAAGGAATACTGCCACACATAAAGACAGTTCATAATGATGAATGGGTAATTTCAACAAGACATAACAACTCTAAGTATGCACAAACTCAATAACAGCTTCAAAATGAACAATGAAAGGGTTTCCCTGGTGGCACAGTGGTTGAGAGTCCGCCTGCCGATGCAGGGGACACGGGTTCATGCCCCGGTCCGGGAGGATGCCACATGCTGCGGAGCGGCTGGGCCCGTGAACCATGGCTGCTGAGTCTGCGCGTCCGGAGCCTGTGCTCCGCAACAGGAGAGGCCGCAACCGTGAGAGGCCCACGTACCGCAAAAAAAAAAAAAAAAGGAACAATGAAAAAACAGCACTAAAATGAGAAACTAACCAATTCACAAGTATAATTAGAGGTTTAGATACTTCTCTATCAGAGATAGAATAAGCAGACAGAAAATAAGTTAAGAATATGGAAGACTTCTGGCTTCCCTGGTGGCGCAGTGGTTGAGAGTCCGCCTGCCGATGCAGGGGACACGGGTTCGTGCCCCGGTCCAGGAAGATCCTACATGCCGCGGAGTGGCTAGGCCCATGAGCCATGGCCGCTGAGCTTGCGTGTCCGGAGCCTGTGCTCCGCAATGGGAGAGGCCACAACAGTGAGAAGCCCGCGTACCGCAAAAAGAAAAAAAAAAAAAAAGAATATGAAGGACTTGAAGAACACTATTTAATATACTTGGAACATCAAGCTGAATTGACATTTATACATCACTCCATCTAATAATAGCAGAAGCATACATCTAATAGCATGTATTAGAATAGCATCTAATACATAGTCTTCTCAAGTGCAGAAAGAATCTTCACCAAGATAATTCACATGCTGGGTCATAAAACAAGTCTCAATAAAGTTAAAAGTATTGAAATCATATAACTAAAGCAGTTAAGCTTAAAGGGTAGGTGCTTGTACTAGAAGAGAAAAAGGTTTTCAATCTAAGTTTTAAAACAGAAATTAAAAGAGCAAATTAAAAGTAATTAAAAAGAAGAAAAATAATAAAGTATGAATGGAAATAAATTAAGTAGAAAAGAGACAAACAGTAGTAAAAAAAAATTAATGAAAGTAAAAGCTGTTTATTTGGAAAGATCATTAAAACTAACAAACCTTTAGCTAGACTGGAAAAAAAAAAGACAGGAAACATTACCAATATGAGTCATGAAAAAGCACTAGAGAGTCTACAGAAACTAAAAGGATAAAGGAATATTATCAACAATTTTTTGGCAATAAATTAGAAAATGACTTGCAAGACACAAGTGATTAAAACTAAGAACAAAACAGAAAACATGAATAGCCTTTGAAACTTTGAAACTTTGAAAGCCTTTAAATTCATAATTTAAAACATCCCCAAAAGGAAAACTCCAGGTCCAGATGGCTTCACTGATGAATTCTACCAATCATTCAAGGAAGAAATAATGCCAATTGAAAAGAAACTCTTTAAGAAATACAAGAGAATGAAACACACCCCAACTCAATTTATGAAGTCAGCACTACCCTGATAACAAAATCACAAGAAGACATCACAAGAAAAAATTAAATACCATAATCATTCATAAAAACAGATACAAAAATCCAAAAGGAAATACTAGCAAAATGAATCAAACAATGCAAAAGGATAATACATGACCACAAAATGTGTTTAGCCCAGATATACAAGGTTCAATCAATGCTATTCACCATGTTAACAGAATTAATATATATCAGGATCAATTAATGCAGAAAAAAAGTATTTGACAGTCCTTTATACCCATTCCTGATAAAAACTCAGCAATAGGAATAGAAAGGAGCTCAGTCAACCTGAAAAAGGGTGTGTATGAAAAACTAACAATTAACATTATAATTTATGGTAAATGATTAATTTTTCTCTTAAAACCAGGAACAAGGCAAGAATATTCATTCTCATTACTTCTATTCACCATTTTGCTGTAAGACCTAGCCCTGAAAAAAGCACACACATACACAAAATAAAAGGCATACAGGTTGGAAAGGAAGACGTAAAACTGCCTTTGTCTGAAGATGACATGATCGTGTAGATAGAAAACCTTAAGGAATACACAGAAAGGTAACAAAGCAAATACTTCAATTTAGCAAGACTGCAGGATACAGGTTAACTTATTATTATTATTTTTTTTTTTTTTTTTCCTTGCGTTATGCGGGCCTCTCGCTGTTGTGGCCTCTCCCATTTGCGGAGCACAGGCTCCGGACGCGCAGGCTCAGCGGCCATGGCTCACGGGCCCAGCCGCTCCGCGGCATGTGGGATCTTCCCGAAACGGGGCACGAACCCGCGTCTCCTGCATCGGCAGGCGGACTCTCAAGCACTGCACCACCAGGGAAGCCCCTTATTATTTTTTTTAAAAGATTTTTTTGATGTGGACCATTTTTAAAGTTTTTATTGAATTTGTTACAATATTGCTTCTGTTCTGTTTTGCTTTTTGGCCACGAGGCACGTGGGATCTTAGCTCCCTGACCAGGGATCGAACCTGCACCCCCTGCATTGGAATGCAAAGTCCTAACCAATGGACCACCAGGGAAGTCCCACAGGTTAATTTAGAAAACATTATTCGCTGATAATATATAAAAAAATTTGTTTCTATGTATCAGCAACAAATAATTGGAAAATGAAATAAAAAATATAATTCTATTTACAAATAATCAAAACTTGAAATACTTTGGAATAAATTTAATAAGACACATGTAAGACCTGTATGATGAGAACCACAAAATATTGGTGAGAGAAACTAAAGAAGACCTAAATAAATGGGGAGATATACCATACTAATTCATTGGAAGACTCAATATTATTAAAATATAACTCTCCACAGATTGATTATATAGATTTAAATGCAATCCCAATCAAAATATAAAATTCACATAGATATGCAAAGGATCTTCTAGAACTATTAAAACACAAAAAACATTTTGGCAATGGCAGGGGGGGCTCACACTACAAAGATTTCAAGACTTATTATAAAGCTACAATTATCAAGGCAGCAGTATATTAGAGAAAAATGCTATCAGTCAATGGAACAGAATTTAGAGTCTAGAAATATCCCTCTACATATATGGTTGACTGATTTTCAAAAAATAACAAAAGTAACTCAATGAAAAAAGGATAATCTTTTCAACAACAGATACTAGAACAATTTCATATCCATATTGAAAAGAAATTTTAACCCTTACTTCACACTGTAAACAAAAGTTAACTCAGATCATAGAACTAAATGTAAAAGCTAAGACTATAAACTCCTAGAATCTTCGTGACTTTGGGATAGACAGAGATTTCTTAGATAAAACACACCACAAAAGAAAAAAAAATTGATTCATTCAAACTTCATCAAAATTTTAAAAGTTTAGTCTTCAAAGCCACTGTTAAGAAAACGAAAGGCAAGCCAACAGAATGGGATAAAATGCAGCTAACAAGCACATGAAAAGATGTCCAATATCCTCATTCATCAGTGAAATGCAAATTGAAACTATGGGTTGGCCAAAAGGTTCGAATGAACTTTTTGGCCAACCAATACAATGAGATACCACTATAAATCCAACAGACTGGTTAAAATTTAAGACTGACAACACTATGTGTTGACAAGGATGTAGAGCAACTTTCACATGCAGTTGCTGGGAAAAGAAAATGACACAACTACTTTGAGAAAAAGTCTGGCAGTTTCTTATAAAACTAAAGATACCTACTCTATGACCAAGAAAATTCAAAACGTAAGTCTGGAAAAGACTTGTATAGGAATGTTCATGGTCACTTTATCTATAATAGTCAAAAGTTTAAAACTGCCCAAGTGTTCATCAAAAAGAGAAGGCCTAGGGGACTTCCCTCATGGTCCAGTGGTAAAGAATCCACTTTCTGATGCAGGGGACGTGGGTTCGATCCCTGGTCGGCGAACTAAGATCCCACATGCCACGGGGCAACTAAGCCCACATGCCACAACTACTGAGCCCGCGGGCCTCAATGAGAGAGCTCTCACGCCACAAACTACAGAGCCCATGCACTCTGGAGCCCGTGCACCACAACTAGAGAGAAGCCCACATGCCACAACCTGAGAGAAGCCTGTGCGCCACAACGAAAGATACCGCACACCTCAACAAAGGTCCCGTGTGCCACAACTAAGACCTGACGAAGCCAAAAAAAAAAAAAAAAAGAGAGAAGGCCTAAATAAACTGTGATATGTTCAGAAAATGGAACTACTCAAAAGGAATGAGTTACTTCTATATGAAACACCACAGATGAATCTTAAGAATATGCTTGATCAAATAAGGTTTACACTGTATAATTCAAGTTCATGAATAGGTGACATTAACCTGTAGTGAAAATAATAAAAAGAGCATTGTCTCTGGGATAATGGGTAGTGGACTGACTGGAGAGGGATGTGGAGAAAATTTTCTGGAATGATGCTATGTTGTATTACTTGATTGGGGTTTGAGTTACAAAGGAGTATGTATTTGTCAAAACTCATCTAATGGTACACTTTAGTTCTGTGCATTTCACTGTATGTAAACTTTACATTAAAAAAAGAAGTAAATAAATATAAATTTCAGTTATTTATATGCATGATGAAGTGTTGAGGGGTGAAGTCCACAGTTTACTTCAAAATGCATCAAAAACTGAGATGAACTGATAATTGAAAAGAGAGATGGATAAATGGACAAATATGTGAGAAAGCAAATATACTAAAATGTTAACTGCAGAATCCAGCTAGTGTGTATATGGGTCTTCACTGCACAACTCTTTCACATTTTAAAATTACAGTCATAAAATGGAAAAAATGTCATATTTTAAAACTAAAAATGGCAAAAGACTTTTGAGAATATTTAAGCATATTTGAAAAAGAACCAAATGTTACTTATAAGGAGTGAAAAATGGCTAAATTTTTTAAAACCTCACTGAAGAGTGTTAGTTACATGAATACACAGAAAGAAACAAACTACTTAGAGCAAAACAGACCAAAGACTTGAACACACTCTTCATAAAGACGAACACAGAGTAACACATATGAAAAGTTGTTCAACCTCAAGAGTAATCCCAGAAATGACATTTGAAAGCACAATGAGCTACGACTTACACCCACCAGATTCACATGAAACACAAAGAATGACAGCAACAAGTGTTGGCAAGGATTAGACCAATAGCAACTCTTACACACAGCTACTGCAAGCGTAAACTGGTATAACCAGGGCTTTAACTAGTAAGGCTGAATACATCTATAGTGTCTGACCCTGCAGTCCACTACTAGTATGTTCTGCAGAGAAAATCTTATATATGTGTGCCAGGTAACTGATGGAAGATTTCACAGTGGCATCGTTTATAATAATAACAAACCAGAAACAACCCAAATGGCCATTATCAGTAGATAATGAGTAATTTGGGATGTATAGGCAAACAATTGAATCCTATATAGCAGTGAAAACGGATGACTGAAAGCTACAGTCAGTCATTAACATGGCTCAATCTCAGGAATGTTAACAGTGAGTCAAAAAGCAAGATGTAGAAGAATACACACGATATGGATCCATGACCATGTTGTGCAGGAACACAAAAACATGTGACAAAACTATAAAGAAAAGCAAATGACAATTATAAAATTCAGGGTTTTAGTTTCATTAAAACTAAAGAGGGGAGACAGGATCAGGGAGGACCCACAGAGGGGCCTCAAAGGTAATGAAAACTTTCTGCTTCTTAAACTGGGTGGTAGCTACTCAGATGTGCCTTAGATTGTTCATCTTTATACCTTACATATTAATATGTAAATATTATATTGGATCTAGTCAAAGTTTATTTAATACAAGTGAAATATATGACTCTTAAATACCTAAAATGGCAAAATTGATGTTTAATGATATTCTTTGCCTACCCGAAAAATCTTGTGCATCCTCATGGTGGCTGAACAAAAGATAAATCTTGTGAGAAGCAAGCGAAGAAATTCATCTCCAAAAAACTGGAGAAATGCCTGATCTGCAAAGAGGAGAAAAGTGACAGTAAAAGGATACTTAAGTGGAAAATACATTTCAAAAGGCAAGAAATGTTCAGGAAAACCTTCTCAATTTTCCTGCCTTCAACAAATACCTTTACAAATTCAAACAATTTAAACAATTTTAAACCATTATAGTACATTCTGTTAAGTGTGCAGTTAGATTAGTAGGGTACCTATTGAACGTGAATGGGTCAGTAGCTGGGCAATATCGCGGTTGATTTTTCGAAGATATTCTTGACACTTTTCCCATAGGCCTCTACGCATGCTTGACAATCCAGAGACAAATAGGAAGGCCATTAGAGGATTGTTCAAAAAGAGAGTGAAGAGGCTACCTCGTTGAGATTGATCTGTAATAACAAACATGTTATATATATAGACAACAGTTTTGCAAAAGAGAGGCATTTGAGGAACATTTTAATATACTGACAATGTATAAAATTAAAGCTGTATCATTAAAGTATAATTCAACAAAGTACATTCGGCTTGGAACTACAAAAACATATCCCAGGTACATTGCTTTGTGCTGAAAAAAACTTTAGAGCCTCGTAAACTTAAGAGAAATAGAAAATGAACATATTCCTTTGCTTTTTCTTCCCCTCCAACTAACAACTTCCATGCAAATACGGCAAGTGCTGGATCATGGGCAGCTCCTAATGGAACCCTCTGAGAAGCACTAGAACTGCCAATCTCTTTCATGCTCCTTTGTTAGTTGCTCTTTCTCTTCCTATCCCTTAAATATCAGTATTTTCCTTCTACACATTGCTGATCTCACCTATGCACAAATTTCAGTTATCATTTATATGCATACTAATTCCCAGTTCCCTATCTGCAGCCTAAATAAGCTCCTTAGGTCCAGAACGGCGCTGTCCTATAGTAGCCACCAGACACACTTCAAAAGTAATGAGTCCAAATTGAGACACACTGTGAATTATAAAATATAAATGTCTCATTAACATTCATTTCACCTGTTTGTTTCTACCTTAAAAAAAAAAAATGTGGCTACTAGAAAACTTAAAATCACATGTGTGACTCCCATTATATTTCTATTGGACAGAGGAGCTCCAGACTACTATACTCAACCTAACTCTCAAAGGTAACCTCAAACTCAACATATCAAAACTTGTCAGTAGATTCTTTCCCGTTGTTCTCCTACAAATCTGCTTCTTATCCAGGATTATCATTTCTACCAGCACCTCAGCCAGACACCTGGCAGTCCATCCCTGCTTCCTTCCTCTCCCTGATTCCCTCTCATCCAGTCCATCATCAAGTCCTACTAGTTCTCCAGGATTATTAACTCCAGCTAACCAGCCACTGTCCTCACTCTGGCCAACATCATTTCCTCATTTCCATCAAAGCTCCTCCCCAATTCATTCTTCACATGCTCGCATGCTTTTTCTCTGCTAGAACACTCTTATTCAACCATTTCCCACCCCCATCTAATTCTACGTATCCTTCAACTCAACTTTAGACATCATTTCATTCACTTTCTTAACCCTCAAGGGCTGGTCAGGAGTTCACCTTACATGTGCTTCCTCCTGTGAAACCCTCAGAGCACCTACAGTAATTGCCCGTTAGGCTGTCTATATCTTCTACCTAGCACAGCACCTGATTAATAAATGTGGAATAAATGCTTGTTGAATGAATGAAGTGACGCTTGGTTAAAGAGAGAACTGCAGAATTCAGATACCAGAGGTGCAGGGACGTAATTTGACATTCCAAATACTTAGGTATCTGCTAGTTTTGTGTCCAGAAGGGACACATTTAAGGGATTAGAGGTCTAAGTTTTACAGCACAAAAAATAGGATACTGGACTAAAAAATGTTAAGGACATGTATTTCAATTAACCATATTAATAATAACAACAGTTAGCACATATTGAATACTTACTGCGTACCCAGAATTATTTAATGAGGTGGTACTATTATTATCTCCATTTGATAGGAAAGAAACTGAGGCACAGAATGGCTCAGTAACTTCCCAAGGTCACATAGCTGGTAAGTGGCTGAGTTGGGATTCAAACACAATCAGTTTGCCTCCAGAGTCTGTGTTTTTACCCTCTTCACAATAAAACCTTTCAGATTAAATAATTGTGGTATTAACCCATTAGGTTCATGCAATTTAAAATAAAGCTGCATCTTGATAGAAAAATTTGATAGCAAAAAGTACTCGCAATTGGAAGGGGTTACATTTCTCCAAAAATGATAAGAAACAGGTTAACAAAGTCCTCAAAGCAGGAGAGCTTTACCGTTGTTTGAAGGTAAGTTCTATCCCTTAGTGATTTGCCTTTTAGATACATGAACTTAGTATTTCTACATGTTTTTCCCTGTTAAATAGCAGAACTTACCTTAAAACAACGGTGAAAAGTCTCCAGCTTCTCTCGGGCATTCAAATGCTGACCATCACTTCCTGTGTCAAACTATGTCAGCAGACAGGACTTCTGGCTGGGAAGTAGCAGTAAAATGCCATCTCCCACAGAGAGACATCAGCACTATTCACAGTTAGGGAGATAGTGAAACAGTGACAAGTACTGCTAAAACAGGATTAAGGTTTGTTTAGTATTTTACCTAGCTTAATGACTGGGAATTAGATTAGATTTTACGTGTTGCTTACTGAGGACAAATTATTAAAGACAAAAAGTTTTTCATCTCAGCCACCTGAGAAAAGGCAAAACACTGACCTGTCTCTCTGGCACCCAGAGAAGAGGTTCTTTTATTTTAAAAATGTGAGGTAAAAATGTGAATAAAAGACACCCTTTAAGTTGTGCCAGTTAGGTTATTCTAACACTCAGGCATAGATTGAGAAGTGTTCTAGACCAGAAATCTCACGGTCTTAAAAGATACTTAAAATATGTAGCCAGAGCTGGAGGAAGTCATGTTATATGGATGACGACCAGCACACCTGCAACACAAATTTTAAAATTCACAAATCATGAGCTCCCCAGTAGCAAGGGACCAAAACCTTACTCTTTTCTTAGAGATGATTTATCATTTCTTTTAGAATTATCTCAAGGCCTAACAGTAGCCCATTAAAGAATTCTGGTTGTTGGCAAGACTTCGGGATTTATTTCAGACTGACACTTGCCACATCAAACTCTATAAATCCACAACTGACCACTATAGGTGGGGGAGACAAAGATCAGAGCAGTATTATTCAAAATGTAGACATAAGTTTATTTGCAACCTACGGATACAACAGGGAATGACAAAACATACCTTGTAAAGCTTTTGGATATGCTGTAGGAGAAAGCAAGCAGACTAGTGGCTGTCCAAATAAGTTTGTGAAATTCTGTAATATATAAGAATTTAAAACTTTCATTAAAGATTTGACCAATGATAGTAATTTTCCAAAGCATATCATTAGTGTATAGATTGGGTCCTTTTACTTATAAACAGATGCAGAAACATCAGTAACAGCTGAAAAGACTGTCATTCAAGTTTAACGTGCATAACAGGTTTTCTTAAAGTGGTGAAGTTTATTAAGTGAGCTATTGATTTTTAAAGTAAAGGCACACACATGGTTGAAGTGTCACAGGGAGAGGGCATCTGGCTGTTTATCAAGAGGCTACTCCATTGGGCAACATAATATTTACAAGGGTAAATTTGCCAAGGTCTATGATCTGGCTCTCAGCCTCACAGGCTCTAAAACCTGACTTACTGGTATGTGAAGACTGGATTCATCTCTCATTGTGAATCATATTAATTGCTCACACAGAATGATGTATAAAACCAGAATGTGAATGTGTTAATTTACAGTGAGAATTAAACTGACACTCACTACTCTTTGCATGATTAAGAATATCCTTTCCCTAAAGGCAGATCTGCATCGGAAGTAAAATCATAGACTGTTTGGTAAAACAAGAAAGAAAACTCCTAGGAGTAAACTTAATAAGAAGTGAAAAAAACAAAAATAACTAAAAAATACTCCTGAATGATAAAAATGAAGACTTGAACAAATGGAAAGATATATTGTGTTCTCAGAGGGGAACCCATTCTAAACATATCATTTCAATAATTTATTAAAATTTAAACCAACCTCAACAAAAATAGCCATGGATTTTTTTCCCCTGCAACTGAAAGAAATTCTAAAGTGCATACAGATAAGGTACATTAGCCAGGAAAACTCTGAAAAAGAAGAGCAAAGAGGGGGAACTAGACTTATCAGACACCAAAACATACTTCAAAGCCTCAGTAATTAGAAATATGTGCCACAGCGTAAGAGGAGGCAGAAAACCAATACAAGAAAATGAAGAGTCTAGAATTAGACCCCAAAATAGGGCTTAAGGATATATGATAAAGATGATGGTTGGAATTGGTAGGAAAAACTGACAGCTATCTAGAAAAAAAAGTTGGCTCCATACTTCATACCAAAACCTAGGATGAATTTCAAATATATCTGATTTAAATGTAAAAAAAAATTAAACAGTAACAGTGCTGAAAGAAAATAAGGGTTATTTTTGTCATCTAGAAGATCTTCCTATTATAATTAAGATTAATAAACCCAGTTACAAAAATAAAAAATACAGCATGAACTAAATCAAAAGCTAGATGATGGGGCTTCCCTGGTGGCGCAGTGGTTGAGAGTCCGCATGCCGATGCAGGGGACACGGGTTCGTGACTCGGTCCGGGAAGATCCCACATGCCGTGGAGCGGCTGGGCCCGTGAGCCATGGCCGCTGAGCCTGTGCGTCCGGAGCCTGTGCTCCGCAACGGGAGAGGCCACAACAGTGAGAGGCCTGCGTACCGCAAAAAAAAAAAAAAAAGCTAGATGATGAATTGGGGAAAAATATCTGCAACTCACATTACGAGCTTTTCCAAATCCATAAGAAAAAGACCACTGTCCTAATAGAAAAATGGGTGAAAGGTAACACGGAATACAATATTGATTGATTTTCATATATGGAACCTTCATGCATTATTCAGATAGATTACTCTATTAGTAGGCCTATTTATTAGCATTTTATTTAAAATTTTCTAATCTATAATTATAAATCTGGGATAGAGTTTTTTGTATGTGCTATTTTTGTCTTGAAATAGTATCATTATCATAATGATTCCTAACATTTATTGAGTGCTAACTACTTTCCAGGAACTATCCTAGGATTCTTAGCTCCTAACCCATAATCTTAACAATCCTATAAAATTATTACAGAGAAGAAAAAAGAGTCTCAGAAAAGACCAAGGAAATGCTCAAGGTCATATAAATGTCTTGTGGCCTGTTATAGAATGAATTGGATATTTCTGATATTTTCCATTGCTCTGGAATTGTGCAGATTATAAAAGTTTAAAAGAATTTATTGGTGAACTCAAAATGGCTAGAACCTTTTTTTTATGGAGAAAAAGGAGATAACTTTGATCACTTCCCTCATACTATTTCATACCCTGTGCTTGGGCTTTCGGATTTCCCTTCTTGTAGTCATTAGATTTTTTTTTCCCAGGAAATTATCCATTTAACTGAGACTTTAAAACATTTTACAACTTTAGGGACTTCTCTGGTGGTGCAGTGGTTAAAAATCCGCCTGCCAATGCAGGGGACATGGGTTCGAGCCCTGGTCTGGGAAGATCCCACATGCCGCAGAGCAACTAAGCTCATGTGCCGTAATTACTGAGCCTGTGCTCTAGAGCTTGTGAGCCACAACTACTGAAGCCCACATGCCTAGAGCCCGTGCTCCACAACGAGAAGCCACCACAATGAGAAGCCCATGTACCTCAACAAAAAGTAGCCCCAGCTCACCACAACTAGAGAAAGCCCATGTGCAGCAACGAAGACCCAACGCAGCCAAAAATAAATAAATTAATGTATCTTTCTTCAATAGATATTCATTGAACCTACAAACTAGACACTGTTCTAGGTGCTAGGGATACTGTAGTTAAGAAAAAAACAAAAAACAGATTAAAAAAAAACTAAACCTGTCTTTCTGGAGCTGACATTTAGATGGGGGTGGAGGTGGCAGGTAGAGACCCACAGTAAACAAAATAAAGAAGTTATATAATATTACAGAAGCTGACAAGTGCTACATATGGAAAGACAGAATAGAGTAGTTAGCAGCACAGAATGATTTATAATCAGACTGTATTTAAATCCCAAATCAGCCACCTTGTGCCTTGGTTTTATCAGTAAAATGGGGATAATAAAAGTAACATGTTGCATTGTGAGGATTAAATGTGTTAGAATAGTGCATGGCATTATACAGAAGCTAACTTATGATTATAAGAAAAATAAAGTAAGAAAAGTGGATAAAGAGTGCTGGGGAGGCATATAATTTTAAATAGGGCAATTAGGGAGAACTCTCTTAAGAGGCTTCAGCTGATTAAACACCTGGAAAACAATGTGGGTCTCTTCGGAAGAGGATTCAAGGTTGGGGGAACACAACACAAATCTCCTAAGCAGGAGACTGCCAGGTATGTCTGAGGAACAGCAAGGTCAGTGTGGCTGAAGAGAACTGAGTGATAGGGAGACCAGCAAGAGATCAGAGATGCATTCGAGGTGGGGAGGAGGCGTGTGAGGGCAGAAAACATGAAGCCTTTACTCTGAGTGAGATGAGGAGCCTTCGGAGATTTTGAGTAGATAAGTGACATAATCTGACTTACAGCCACACCCTGTAGGAGAGCAAGGGCAGAAGGAGGAAACCTAGTTAGGAAGCTACTGCAATAATTCAGGAGAGAGATGATGGTAGCATGGACCAGGATGGTGGCAGCAGAGGTGGTAGGATTCTGGATCTATTAGTTATAACCACTAAAACATTCTGAAATGGATGTGGCTGTGAGGGAAAGAAGAGTCCAGAATGAAACTAAGGATTTGGGCTAGGGCAACTATAAAAGCACAGTAGTCATTAACTGACATGGGGAAAGCTGGATCTGGAAGAGGTCTAGAAATTCTGTCCTGGGCATGTTAGCTTTGCAATCTCTATGAGAATCACCAAATACAGATGTAGAGTAGGTAGATTATATTCAAGTCTGGAGTAACTGAGAAAGGTCTGGGCTGGAGATATAAATGTGGAAAGTGTCAGCATAGAGATAGTAATTAGAGTCATGAAATTATGTGAGGGCATCAAGGGCAGTCTGTTGTAGCTGGAAAAGAAGAGGAAAAAGGATGGAGCCCGGGGGCACTCCAGTGACAGGTCAGAGAGATGAGGCAAAACCAGAAGAGGAGACTGAGAAAATCAGCTGACGCCAGGCCTCCTTTGCCCTGAGGCAATCGAGTCACTTGCATTTAGGTTTTAAAGGACTTATGCAGAGAAGGGGACCGCAGTCAGAACTCAGGGTCTGCCTAAGATGGAGTCTAACAGAAAACTGGCCCTGCTAAATTGGAATCCCAAAGGGCTACACCCTTACTGTAAGGATGAACCAAAACCAAATTTCACACCTTCCTGCCCCCCGGGACCATGCCTCGGGGGACCACAGGAAAATTTTCTTGGTGCTGAGCAGAGCAGAGACAGAGCAAACAAACAAACGAACCAAACAGTCCTGATGGTTGTAACTGTAAGCCAGCCCTCTTGCATGTTTGTAGCCCAGATTCATACCACCTAGGTAATCCCAAACACATGGTCCCCAAATGGCAGTGGCTCTAGGTGTCTAGCAGAAGCAAATGCAGACCCTCTCTGGATGAAAGTACCATCATTTTAGGGCTCAGTGAATTTCCCACAGATAATTTTAAGGATAACAAGAAGAATCTAAGGATAACAAGAAGAATCTAATCAAAGATAATCAAGCATACAGGGATACAAAAACAGCAAAGGGTGTCTTTAAGCAGCAAAAGCAGATTTCAGGTATAAGAATTACCAGATAGATAATAAATAATATAGTAAGTATGCTTATTAAGTTTAAAGAAATGAAGAACAAACTTGAACACAGAAAATAGGGAACTATAAAAAGGGCAGTGAATTATTTGAAAAAGAACCAAACAGAACTTCCTGAAATGAAAAATACCACAACTAATATAAAATTCAATAAATGGGTTTAATAACAAGTTAGTCACAGCTGAAGAAAAGAATTTGTGAACTGAAAGCCAGATCAGAAGAAATTATCCAAATCTCAGCCAGAGAAACAAAAAGATGGAAAATATAGAAGAGAGGTCAAGAGACATGGAAGACACAATGAGAATGATGTATGTAAAATCAGAGTTCCAGAAAGAGATGAGAGAGAATCTGCAGCACAGCCAAGATTTGAAGAGATAATGGCTGCGAATTTTCCAGCAATAATGAAAAACTCTAACCTACAGATTTGAGAAGTCCAGCAACTCCCAATAGGTTAAATATAAAGAAACAAAACCTAGATAACTCAGAACGCC